GATGCCTGAACGACGCTGGCTGGTGCTGGGGTGTTGCCCTGTAACCTGTTGATAGAAGGAGTATGAGGCCTGGGAGAGAGATCTGGGGATGCTTTGGGGTGGGCATTCTCAGCGTAGTAAGTGACAACCAAGGGTTGCTGTCGGGACGAGCCTGGCCGGAGCTGGGGTGAGTCGTAGAATGGTATAATTGGAGGAAAGCGCCCACTCGGAGACCTTTTTGTAAGGGGCGTCCATACTTTTCCCACTTGGTGACAAGTGCCCACGGGCAACAGTGCCGCGACACAGGGAGAGAGATGCCCCGGTGCTACACCTGAGAAAGGTGGCAGAGAGACGCCCCGAGGCTAAAACTCAGAAAGGTAATCAGATCGACTTCGAATAGATCTCAAAGAGCAGGGCAGTGTTTTCTGCCTCGGAGAAGTGCGAGGAAGAATCTACTGCGACTACTTCCTCAGACTCCTCTAACTGCTCATCCCAGTCTGGCCTGCGACAAGGTGTTGGCTGGCGTAGTAGATGAGAATCATGAGATGGAGATCAAAGGCTGTCTGCAGGTATCCAGAAGATTCCTGTAACAACAACTGGGACAGGACATATATTTGGGTCAACAGTGCTTCCAGGCTATGAAACACCCGCGGACACGTCTGCGGTGCCGAGCTCGGAGGGCGGACGTATTCACGGCCGCCTCCGCGGCCTACCGGGTCCGCGATTTTACCAGATTTTTCCTGAACTAAATAATAGGCCAAAAATTTATATATATATATGGGGTTGAAGGGAATTTTAAGCCCTACAACCTCTTTTTTTTTTTTTTGAAATCCGACTTTGCTTAGGATTTTTAAAAAATCAAAAACTAAATTCGGTTTAAAGAAAATTAAAAAAACAAAATATAAAGAAAAGCTGGAAATTTTTTTTTGTCATTTTTTATCATCAGATATATGGTCCCTGAGTTCACCTGTATTTTTTAGAAATGAATTTCTGTTTTTTGCAGGGGTATGAGATGTTTTAGAAAAATCAAGATGCAATATTAGAAAATAAATAAACAAAAAACTTGAAAAAAAAGGTTTGATTGATTGATTGATTGATTGATTGATTGATTGTGTGTGAGTGTGTGCGTGCGTGTGTGTGTGTGTGTGTGTGTGTGAGAGAGAGAGAGAGAGAGAGAGAGCGAGAGAGAGAGTCTCATGAGAGAGTCTCATGAGAGAGAGAGAGAGAGAGAGAGAGAGAGAGAGAGAGAGA